TTCCCACCGGACCATGAAGACGGTTCTGACCCGGTTGGCCCACTCCTCCATCATGAGACTGAACCCGGCCAGCATGGACAGGGTAGGACAAAAACAGCAGCTGTCAAAGTAAATCAATAAAACTTTTTCTACTAAATTAAAAAAAAAAGTGTTGAAGTTTTGGTTATTAACTGTGAAGAATTATTCAAATAGTTGCTTGCTATATTCATGCTCTTATTTTGAAGTATTTCTACATAGTTCCGTTTCCTCTCCTCACATTCGCCTTTCTTTCTTCAAGAAACTTTATTGAACGGCAATTAGTATTAATATGACTGTAAGAAAACATTAATAAACAACCAGGAGTGTTAACTACACAAACACATTGAAAAAATCCACTTACCTGAAATGTTCTGAGAGCCTCACCTGGACACATGGCAGGTGTCAACATGGCTGCATATGGAGCATTAGCTTCTGCTACGCGCCATGTTGCTAAAGCATTTAGCTTATGCTGAATGCCATTTTGGTAAAGCTCTTTAGTGTTAGCAGAACTGATGTTTATGAAGCTAGTCCAGCTAACTTTCCAGCCAGCGGTGCCTGACGTTTAAAAAATGTCCTCCATCTGTCCACCAGGGGGCAGCACAGTTTGTAGCAGACAAAGTGAAGAACCAGTGAGAAGAAGTTTATTTATTTTCCTGCTGTGTTTCAGTTCTGGTTTCATATTCAGGTTATTCAATCAGATCTGTGATCAGCTCTGTTTTTTACTAAAGTCTGCAGGCTTCTCTGTGGTTCTGACCCAGAAACTGTTTCTCCTGCTGGCCTGCAGCTGTATGAGCTGATGATCATGGCCTTCAAGTACCAGGTTCTGCTCAGCCCGCGGCCCAGAGACCTGCTGCTGGTCTCCTACAACCACCTGGACGGCGCCAGGGCCTTGGTCAGGGACACGCCGGCCATCCTCAACCAGGTGGACGAGACACACAGGAAAATCATCGAGGTGTGCAGCTGGTTCTGGTTCTGGTTCTGTCTGGCCCAGTGAACCCTGAGTGATTCCTGCTGTCTCTTCCTGCAGGTTTACTCCAAATTATCAGACGGAGAATTCCAGCTGCTCAGACAGACGCTGCTCACCTTCCTGCAGGACATCCACACCCGGGTCAGTACCGGGTCAGAACCACCCGGGTCAATACTGGGTCAGAACCACCCGGGTCAATACTGGGTCAGAACCACCCAGGTCGGTAAATGGGTCAGAACCACCCGGGTCAGTAAATGGGTCAGAACCACCTGGGTCAGTACCGGGTCAGAACCACCTGGGTCAGTACCGGGTCAGAACCACCCGGGTCAGTAAATGGGTCAGAACCACCCGGGTCGGTAAATGGGTCAGAACCACTCGGCTCCTGACCAATGTTTGTTTTCAGGTTTCTGTTTTCCTGAAGAACCAGATCCAGAACTCCATCGGCCGGTTCGTCCTGATGACATCCGGTCCGGTTCCGACCGGAGTAGATGTACCGGGACTGATCAGGTGAGCCCGGTATTGGTTCTGTCTTCATAAGTTATGATTGTTATTCCTGACAATGTGAACCCGGTTCTGTCTGGACCTCCACATCACCTCCGGTCCATCAGAACCATCATTTAAAGCTTATTGGGTTTTACCCGACTCAAACGGCATTTTTATGCTTTTCAGTTTTTTCCACAATAAAAAAATAGATTTAAAAAAATTCTAGTTTGTTTCTCAGATGTTGGTCTTTGGTTCTGCAGCAGGACCGGTTAGAACACAGAACTTTCTGACTGTGCATGTGAGGTCTGTCTTCAACTCCCACTGCTGGAGGACTTCCTGATTTCTGTCCAATCAGAGCAGAGCCCACTCAGTAGATCTCTTCTCTGATTGGATCAGGGAAACTGGACCTGCTGGTTCTTTTTGACCCATCAGAATAACAACCTTTCAAAAATGTCAAAAATGAACTGCAATAATCTGAGTTGTTCAGCCTGTCTCAAGAGAAACTAAACCTCATTAAATATTAACTGAAGACAGATTTAAACTAAATATTAATCATATAGCTAATTTAAAAAAAAGTTATATATTTTGTTAATAAGCAAAATATTTGTTTGAAGCAAAGTAACTAGATCAGACTGTAAGCGGAAGTGGACTATCAAAATAAAAGCTGGGTCTTCCGTTTCATCTCTTCGTTTCTTTTCTTGAACATTTCAGCTTAAAACAAACGATCAACGTTTGAAGGCTAAACAGATGTTTATCAAGCTTTTATTTTGATAGTCCACTCCCACTTATTGATAAATGGATTTGTACATCAGCTAAACATTTAGCTTGAGCCAGCTAAGTATGCAGTTAGTCACCTAAACATTTCGCTAGCTCAAAGCTAAATTGGATCTAAATTAGTTTGTTCACTAAAAATGAAATTCAAGGTAAATACTTTTGCTTGCAAATTAAATACTAAGTTTGAAACTGTGACATTTGAATCCCTGAGTAAAATATGACCCATCTGATGAGCTGTCGTCGTTCCAGGACCTTTGACCCCAGAGGGAGGGAAGTGGGTCGGAGCGAGTTCCCACCTGGGGGAACCTACAGCGGTTCTGTTGGTGAAGGATCGTTTGAGCTGAGCGGAGATCGGGTCCTCAAGCTGGGCCAGAACCTGTAAGAACCCTGAGCCGGTAACATACTGCAGCCACAACCCACTCCGCCTGACCCCGCTTCCTGTTCCAGGTACCAGTCCAAGCGTCCGGAGGAGACCCAGACGTCCAGAACACCTGGAGCCCAGGTAACAAGTCTGAGCTGGTCCAGACCAGGTGGTTCTGGTTCTGTTTGGTTCTGGTTGAACCCTGCGGTCCGTTCTGCGTCCTGCAGCCGGACAGAACCAACCGGCTGGCTAAGGAGGAGCTGAACCTGCTGGCCCGGCTCATGGGCTGCATGAAGGCTGGGTCCGTTCCCGCCGTGACGCCGCAGTTCCGGATCAGCCTGTTCCCCTCGGACCCGGAGGAGGATGAGGAGGGGTGAGTTCTTCCTCTTCAGTTCCCGGTTAATCCGGAGTTCTTCCCGCTTACTGGCGTTGTGTCTGTTGCCCAGCAGCACTCCAGCAGAGCAGGCGGCCATCTTCCAGGTGATCAACATCCAGGCTGTGCAGGTGGGTCAACACGGCTGAGCTCTGATTGGCTGCTTCTGCTCCAGTGAGGCCCGTTTGGACCGGAACGTTGACTGGTTCTGATTGGATTTATCGCCCCCTGCTGGCTGCTCAGCTTGGTGGACTTTCCCTTAAATATCATTTTAATATCATTTTAATACATTACAATATTTAGACTTGTTTGGTGTCCTGGATCATGTCTGAACCAGAACCACAACAAAAACATTTCACTAAATTTTTAATGTTTCTGCATAAACAGAAACTGAGGAACGTTTAGCTTCAGTAAATCAGCTGGAAAAGTTTAACAAATGAAACCAGTTTCATCAAACCTTAAATCTGTGGAGCCATTTACACAAATATAAACTAACGCTATGTCTGAGTTCTGGGATGAATCCGGTTCGGGTCAGAAGTCCCGGTGTTCTGATCCGACCGGCCCGGGTTCTGTTTGATCCAGGATGAAGAGGCGGCGTCGGCGCTGGCCCAGATCTCCGGACAGTTTACTGATGAAGAGGCGGAGCTGGAGACTCCCAGCGGTAGTAAAGGAGACGACCTGCTGGCCATGATGGATGACCTCTGACCTCTGAAGATGTTATTTCCTTTAAAACCCAGAAAACCAATAAAATATGAAGTGAAAATGGAAGTTTGTCTGAGTAAATCAGAAACATTTTAATTGTTTTAACTTCAAATGGATGTTTCCAATAAAATCTGAACTTATTACTTTGGAGAATTTCTTTCTTTCAGGCTGAAACGTGTTTTTGTTGCTTTAAAAATGGTGCTTTGTTAGTAGCCATGCATGAGTGTCTCGTCACAGCCTGATAAGATGGCTTTATCAACGAGCAAGTCCTTGGAGAGTTCAGCCATATGGTGACTCCAGGGAGGGAGCGTAGTCACCATATGGCCATATTACCTAAACTAAACAAAAGTTTATCTAAACTCCTGGAAATTTGATACATCCAGTCAGAGGTGCCAGATTCAGAATAAACAAATTTCATTTAGATTGTGGGGACTTAAAATTTGTATCTGCCCTAGAATCTCAACTGATATCTGTTAATTCCAATCATTCAAATTAGCGTGGTCATTTCCACTGGGCCAAAACTAACAACTTCTCCAAGATGGATTCCATCCTGCTAGTGTGTTTAATTGTCCAAAATTTGTATCCAACTTGCACCTCTCCACACCATGTCAGTCTGAGTGTTCGCTGTCAGCCCAATCGTCACAAATTTGTCAATATGCCAGGTACCTGCAAGCTCCAAGCAGCATAAATCCTGTTATCACGAATCCAAATAAATCCAGGATGTGTCCCACCGGGTGGACCCCACGGGCAAGTGGGCTGTCTCGTGCCCAGTCTTCTTGTTGGAAAATGTTATTAATTGCATTACTTAGGGACCAGTTAACCAGATCCGTAATTTGTATATTTGGAGGACATGCAAAGAGAGGCTCCAAAACAACAGCACAAACACAGAAGACATAGCAGAGCAAGCAAGGGGAAGACGGGAAGGAAGGGCAAAAAGCATCCATCAGAGAGCAAGAAACATCATATCCAATTCATTATAGATTTATATTTAATTCTAGTCATTCAGTGTAATCCAGTTGATCACGTGATCAAGTAGCAGTTAATCTTAAAATAGGATAAAAAAAAACTACCACAGATGAATAATCTATAATCACCCCATCCTGCAGGAGTCAGACAGGAGGATTATCATTTTTATTATGGGATGTAGAAGACATGGGGACAGCTGGAGATTATTTCTGGGTGTGTTCGCTACCGAAACACATTTCAGCCTTTAAAACTAAAATAAAGAGCCTTCAGTTTGCCGATCCACCACAGGGTGGCGGTAGAGCACCTCACGGGCCTGACAAATAACAAGACCTTACGTCATCACGCTGTGCGTCATGTGTTGTTTGTGGCGGCAAAGGACCGATTAGAGGTAAAACCGATTCAAACTGACTGAGGAGAAGAAGGTCCAGTAGAACCAGAAGAAGAACCACCAGTTCAGGTAGGAGTTCGAACTGGTGTCAGCACTGATCTGGATCAGAACCGAGACAGGCAAAAAACCCGTCTCAGCAGAAATCAGGATAAATAAAGGTTCTGCTTGTCAGAACTAAATCTTGTCGGAACCGCTGAGGTCCTGGTTCTGGACCAGGAATCAGTTTCTGAACAAGGTCCAGAAGAACTAGATCCGGTTCTGGGTTGTGAGGAGAAGCCCAGAGCTGCTGGTCAGAACCCGTCTCTCCGGTACCGGACAGGTTCCGGTGTTACGTCGGTCCCGGTTATGAGCGCGTAACAAGCATGCGCGTTGTCAGCGCTTATCCAGGGAACTACGGATACCGTGAAAGCTCAAACAACGTGTTTCCGAAGTGGTCACGCTTTTTCATATATATGCTTGTGAGGCTCTGACTTAATCAAAATCAGATTTATCATTATAGACCCCATGACCCTCCACGACGCTGGGGGGCAGAAACACGACGTCATGCATACATTCTGAATAACTCCGTTACCTCAGTGAAACTTGGACATGTCTTTAACTTCGTCCTAAACTCTACAGCAAAGGGAGAAACCGTTCAAGTCCAACTCAAAACCATTTCTTTCTCGTTTCAGCGCAGCGCAGACTCGTAGCCATAGCAACTAACAACAACGCCACAAAAACAAAACACTGAAATATTTTCCACTCAAAACATTCAGTGTGTTGCAGTGGTTTGGCTTTAGGCTGAATGTTTATTTAGTGATTAATAAGTGATTGATTGGGTACAAGGAGGAAACTATAAATATATCGCTGCACTTATTTCTAGCTCCACGGCTAGCTCTATGGCTAGCTCCACAACTAGCTCCACAGCTAGCTCCAGGGCTGGCTCCACAGCTAGCTCCATAGCTAACTCCATGGCTCGCTCTATGGCTAGCTCCATAGCAAACTCCACAGCTAGCTCCACGGCTAGCTCTATAGCGAACTCCATGGCTCGTTCTATGGCTAGCTCCACGGCTAGCTCCATAGCTAACTTCATAGCTAGCTCCAGGGCTAGTTCGATGGCTAGCTCCATGGCTATCTCGCTGCTGCTGTCTCTTCCTCTGCAGTGTGGAGTCTCAGTGTCTGGGATCATGAGCGCCCCCTGCCATGAGGCCAGAGAACTGCCTGCCTCACCTCCAGTTCTTTGGTTTCTCATCACTGCTCAGCACGAAACACGTTATACACACAGTTCTTTCTCCACAATTAGCATGTTTAGCAGTGGTTACAGGAGAATTATTGACAGCGCTAAGCCCCGCCTCCTGGCTCTGATTGGTTATTTTTGGTGCATTTCTTCAGACAGCAACAGCAGCAGGTCGATCTGTTCAGACGATCTGTTTCATAAACTGAACATAATGACAGATTAGATAAACATGTAAAAACGTTTTATCAAAGTTAAATACTGCAGCTGGACTGTCAAAGTAAAATGACACCAAACTTGTTCAGATCTTTCTTGTTTTGATCCTGAAAGGGAGAAAGATTTCCATCCAGAACCAGGTCATCCTTCTGAACTCTGACCTCTGTGTCCCTCCATGGACCCCGGTGACCCCGGCCCATGTGGCGATGCGGCGGGCTCCATCCGGGAGCGGACCATCGCGGAGAACAGCCTGGTGGTTCTGCTGCAGGGCCTGCAGGGTCATGTGACCACGGTGGAGCTGCGGGACGAGTCGACGGCACGCGGACGAGTCCTCAGCGTCGACGCCTTCATGAATGTCCGACTGGAGAACGTCGTCTTCCGGGACCGGCGGGGTCACGCCCTGCGTCTGCAGCAGCTCTTTGTCACCGGACGCAACGTGCGCTACGTGCACATACCCGACCGCGTGGACATCCTGCAGACCATCCAGAACCAGCTGGCCCGGATCCACAGGGTCCGGAACTTCGCCAGTCAAGGAGGCGGGAGGAGAGAGTTCTGCAAGAACACCAATTGATCCCGTTCCACTGTGGACCCAGTTCTACCAGGTGACCCGGATCAGACTTGGAGACTATTCCTCCCTGGTTCTTATTGGAATGAAACCAGATCCTTCTTATTGGAAGGATTCAGAACTGGTTCTGATTAAAAACTGACTGTTTTTTTAGTGTTATCATAATAAAAGTGTCCAAAAATCCAGATGTTCATTAATGCAAGTCCGGTCCGTTTGCCTAGTCAAAGTCCGGTTGGTGAGGTGTGAATGCTAATCGACCTCTGACCTTGGTCTGCGTTCGGCTGAAGTGAACTCTGGTTCAATTTCAATGTGAACGCCAAGCGGACCAGAGACCGATCCAAAGGCTGGAAGTGGACTACAGCACAGGGCATTCTGGGTAATTACAACCATAGCTAACATGCTAGCCTAGCGCTAGCAGCAGAAATGGCTCCTGGTCTTCAGCCAAAGACTAAAGAGAAATCCTCCATTACTAAACTCTGACGCCTCCATCTTGTTTCATCTGGTGAAACAGGAAGTTGCTCTCAGTGTCTTCAGAGGTTTTAGTGTCGTTTCCTGCAGTGGTTGTTGGTGCAGCGCCCCCACAGGCCAGGAGGGGAACAGGCTGGTTGGACTCAGAGCGACAGCAGCTTGAGGTGGAGCAGATGAACAAAACCGAGTTCTGGAACAAACTTCCAGAAAACTGTGAAACAGCAGAAACCCTGACTTCCTTTAAATCTCAACTAAAAACCAGCAGGTTATAGTTTTATTAGAAATGTAATATGTAACAATGTATTGTTTATTATATGACTTTGTGTTTATGATGTAAAGCACTTTGAAATGCCTTGCTGCTGGAATGTGCTATACTAATAAAATTTGATTTGATTTTTGATTTAAAGGGCCGCTATCGTGTAAAGTCAATCATTTTCATGTTTTTCCGTGGCGTATTGGTTTGATTCTTTCATGGTTGAGAATCCTTCCATCTCCATGGCAACCACTCAGCTGGGTGGACCTAGCCCCGCCTTCGAGGTGCAGCTCCTCCCCCCACTCAGCTCCTTCAGACTAGCCAGCAGCAATTAGCAAACAGCTGCTGAGGTCGTCAGAGGAGCTGCTGCTCAGATAATCTCTGGTAAAAACGTGAAAGTATAGCACAACCCACATTTGGAGGCCTTGAAACCTCGAAGCAGCTGTCGCGGGTTTGATTCCCGGACCAGACGATATTTGTCTTCCCCTCTCTCCTTGCCCCTTTCCTGTCAGCATACTTTCATATAAAAGACACTAAAGCCCACAGAAAGACCCCTGGAGGGGGATTAATTAACATTAAAGGATTAACAGAGGAGCCATGTTGGGAGGACTTCCTGGAGGCGGAGCTTCAGAAAGAGCAGGGGCTCTTAAAGAGACAGAGACCCAATTTCAAGGCATTAAATCACAAAGCCAAATCACTTAAATCACATTTCATATATGCAGCATTTTTGTAAAAACTAACAACATAGTTACTGGATTATACTGTTAAAATATCTCAATGTGCCTGGAAAACGATACTGGCCCTTTAAATGTGAAACGATTATAGTGATTTTTCTCATTAAAAGTGGCATTTGGATGATTGTGACCCATTTGGGTTCGGTTCTGATTGCTGTTGAGTAATGAGTCAGGAAAACCCGTTGGAGGGAAAAACAAGCCAGGCTGCAGGAGAAGGCCGTGTTTGGTTTGTTGCTCCGGACGCAGCTGGGAATGTGGGGAATCCGGCTGTTTGTGCTGCAGCAGGAACGATGCAGCGACCGCGTGATGAGCATCAGCAGCTCCTCAAACGTTCCTGAGCTGCTTCACATGAAAACGGGCCGAGGTTCTGCAGAACCAGAACGCAAAATATTTCGTTTTTTATGCATAATTAGAATAAACTTCTATCTATGTCAGTTCCTTTTTAAATATAATTTTTCTCATCTTATAAATCTCTTTGTGCGTATGTTTTCTAACAGGCAGTTTCATATTTGTGTGATCTGCTCCCACCAATAACTAACAGCTGGAAAACATTTAAAATATTTCTAAATGTTTTAAGCAATACAGTGAGTTAAAACAGAACAGGCAGGACTTTTTACCGTATTTAAAACACTAATACTTTAGGATATTTTATCACTATAACAAATAATCATTCATAAAAACTCCCAAAAAATTATTTTTATTGTCTTTTTTCAGCACTTTTTTATTGCTACAAAACAAATCATAAACTTTATTTGACCAACATTTAGGAACAATCAGTGACTGTCAAAACGTTTTTTAGGAACAATCAGTGACTGTCAAAACGTTTTTTAGTTTTGTAAAAGAACTGCCATCCATCTGTGGCCTGTAACAACAATAAAAACAGATAAATGAATATATATGTGTGGTAATTTTAAAAATGTAGTTTCTCTGTTTTACGTTTATCATTTATGATCCTCAGTATTTGCCAGTGGGGCTGTGGCCCCCTTTGCCCCTCCTGTCAGACGCCACTGCTAAGCATTTATTTCTGTCTACTCTAAATAAAACAGAGGAGAGAAAATCCAGCAGCCGCCCAGTTATTTCCTGTCCCACCCATCGACCCAGCAGAGCAGAGGCACTGGGAACAGACTGGTGATCAGACTGGGAACAGACTGGTGATCAGACTGGGAACAGACTGGGAACAGACTGGTGATCAGACTGGGAACAGACTGGTGATCAGACTGGGAACAGACTGGGAACAGACTGGTGATCAGACTGGGAACAGACTGGTCTGACTGGGATTGCCTCTCTCTGCTCAGCCTACAGTTTGAAGCTTTTATTTTGAAGGGTCTGCTCTGTTTGACAACCAGGAGGAACTCTGCAGCTCTGGACCCGGTTCTCCTCTCTAAGCAGACGCGTCAGAACCGGACTGGACCTCCATCAGAACCAGGTGAGTGAGAAGCAGCGATCTGGGTTGGTTTCACCCTGACTGGGTTCACGTGGTTCTGGAAACATCCTGAGCTTTAATCCGAACCTGAAGAACTTGAGATCAGTCCAGAACCTTAGAGGAACCGGCTAAGTCACCCAGAACACAACTGGACCGCTCCGGTTGGGTTCTACAGGAGGTCCAGTCAACTCCTCGGAGACCCAAAGGAACCGGTTCCTAACCTTTAAACATCTTGTCAGATATCAGCTGAAATGTTTTCCACCCATCTGTCTCCTGCTGATTCCACTGCCAGTCCGGTCCGGTTCGGTCCATTAACAGAACCTGGTCTTATGGTAACTTAAAGTCTAATTTCTGCTGTTCTGCTTGAATTGGGTCAGTTGGCTGGTTCTGGGTCAGATTTACTTAAAATTAAATGATGATTATTTAAATGCATCATTAGAGGAAGATTTAATCATTTAATTGGTTATTTCTGTCCCATTTTTATATAATAACAGATTCAAACTGCTAACTATGCAGTTCACTGCGCTAACCCCAGCGCGCTAATTATGGCAATTAGCTCAGCTCGCTAAAGCGCTAATGGTTTCAGTGTAAATATCATTTATTCAGTAATGTTTTGTTCTCTAATCTTTGCGGGGTTTTTTTGTTTTTTGTTTTTGTTCCTGTATATTTTGGGTTTGAAATGTTTTTGGAGAAAAAAGAAGAAAAGTGTAACTGCTGCAGAAACAGTAGTCAAACACTTCAAAATAAAAGCATGACCATAAATAGAATAGAATTCAACTTTATTGTCATTGCACTGTCACATGTACAAGCAACAAAATGTAGTTTGCATCTATCCAGAAGTGCTATACAGGATATAAATATTTATAAACAGTTGTACAAGATATAAACAGAGAATAATGACGTGCTATAAATGTTTTGTACAATATAAACATAAATATGAGAGCTATGTTCATATTATACAAATTACCAGGATTGTACAGAATATACAGGAATATGAAAAATGGATTGTATATATATATATAAAAAAAATAAATTCCCTTCTCACCCACCGCGGGTGGTTCTTATCCTCTGAGCTCGGGTCCTCTACCAGAGGCCTGGGAGCTTGAGGGTTCTGCAGTATCTTGTGCCAAGGACTGCTGCACATTTCTGGACTGAGATGTCTGATGTTGTTCCTGGGATCTGTTGTAGCCACTGCTCCAGTTTGGCCCAGATCTACCACACCAGACAAGACCCAAGGTGTAGGTTGTGCAAGGAGGCCCCTGAGACAGTCCAGCACATCATAGCAGGGTGCAAGATACTGGCAGGGAAAGCGTACATGGAGCGACATAACCAATGGCAGGCATAGTGTACAGAAACATCTGTGCAGAATATGGACTGGAAACCCCGAGATCAAAGTGGGAAACACCCCCAAAGGTGGTGGAGAAATACCAGAGCTAAGATCCTGTGGGACTTCCAGATCCAGACAGACAGAATGGTAATGGCAAACCAACCAGACATTGTCGTAGTGGATAAACATCAGAGGAAAGCCGTTGTGGTTGATGTAGCAATACCAAGTGATTGCAACATCAGGAAAAAGGAGAAACTGGAGAAATACCAGGGCCTCAGGGAGGAACTGGAGAGGGCCTGGAAGGTGAAGACCACAGTGGTGCCTGTGGTCATCGGGGCCCTCGGGGCAGTAACCCCCAAACTGGAGCAGTGGCTACAACAGATCCCAGGAACAACATCAGACATGTCAGTCCAGAAATGTGCAGCAGTCCTTGGCACAGCCAAGATACTGCAGGACCCTCAAGCTCCCAGGCCTCTGGTAGAGGACCCGAGCTCAGAGGATAAGAACCACCCGCGGTGGGTGAGAAGGGAATTTATTTTTTTTATATTATATATATAAGTTGTCTTATAGTACAGGACATGCTTTAAGGATTCTTGACCAAAACTTCAATGCAAAAGTTTAACTTTATTCAACTGAAAGTTTACAAAAGTGCCAAGTCAATTAGAGCTTCAGAATTTATCCAGAACATTTTATTTACAGGAAGCTAAGTGTGCTAAACAAAAACACTGAAGTGCTAAGCTATTAGCACGTTAGCAGATTTAGCCTCCTCAGATCGCTGGGTTTTAGCCGGGTCTCCAGATGGTATCAAGAGAATCTGTCCAGAACATCCAGGCTCCGGGTGATGTCACTGATCCAGAAGTTTATCTGGTCCAAAACCGGTTCTGACGGTTCTGGTTCCCAGCAGAACTTGCTTGAAGCTTTCAGCCGCTAATGGGTTAACGCAGCCGTCTGAGGCTGAACCCACTGATGATGTTGGGTCTGGGCCGTGTTAATGGGCCGTGCAGGCTGGTTCCGCTGGGCTCACTGGTTCCCATCATGGTGGCTCCCAAACAAACAAGCCAAAGATTTTAAAGCGCCGAGGGTCTGAGGTCAATAAGGGTCAGGATGGGAGAGGAAGCGGGGGTCGTCTCCAGGGAGACAGCATCAGAAAGGAAAACATTCAGCTCCCACACTCCCCACTGCTGGAACCAGAACCCGAACAGAACCAACGTGGGAAACAACGTCATCATGTTTCTAGGAAGCGGCTTTAACCGTGGGACCATCAGAACCTGAAGGCCTGGTTGGCCCAAACATCCCGACAAAAAGCTTAGCTTTGATTCGGTTCTGATCCAGAGCTTCAGCTTCAGTCACAGGATCAACATGTTCCTAATCCGGGAACATCAGAACCATCTCAGTGGATCTTCAGGTCCAGTTTCTACAGAACCAATCAGAGGTGAGATGAACTCTGCTCTCTGATTGGTCAGAAACCAGGAAGTTAAACTAGATCCAGGTTGGTTCCAGATTCCTGTGACCCTGTTGGACTTGGTTCTGAAAGGTTTGGAAGTTCAAACAGGACTGGGTCTGGATGGTACCCATCAGAACCAGCACCTACATGCACTGCTCTCTGCACTCCTCCAGGTTCTGGTTCTGGCCCGGCTGGGAACCCGGATGGATCCGGTGAAGGCAGACATGGAGCTGCTGAGCGACAGCATGGCCGCCTACGCTCACATCAAAGGTGAGAGAAACTGAATATTCACTCAGCCTGATGACCAGCTAAATAGTTAGCATGCTACATTAGCTAAATATTGGACCTGGGCCCAGATATTTAGCTTATGAAAATAATTAGTTTGAAGCTGTGGCTTCCAAAATGTCCTATTTTCCTCCTAAATGATTCCAGTAAGTCAGTTTTTGGTTGTAGTTTTGCAGCTGGACGTCTCTCTGCTCCATAATGGAGTTAAAGTTTGTTACTGGAAGAACCTTCAAGTTTTTACTATTTTCATTTTCTTTTGCTCAGAATTACTGTCAGCTTCTAGATGTGAAATATCTATAGAACTGCAGTCTAGATGATTTTCTTCTCATCGTTACTTCCTGCCCATTATGACATCAGCACGTCTGACCAATCAGAGAGAGAGAGCAGTTCCTGGAGCCGGTATATGAGAACGGAACATGGTTCGGTTCTGATCCGAATGTTCCCCATCGTCTCCTCTGTTTCAGCCAATCCAGAGAGTTTTGCTCTGTACTTCATGATGGGGGTCTCGTTCGGACTCTTCACGGCGCTCTGCCTCCTGGTGGCCGCCATCGCCTGCAGGTCCCGGGGCCCCCGCAGGGGCCCCCGCAAGGGCCCCCGCAGGGCCCCTCCGTCCCCCGACAGGCGGCAGCTCAAAGAGTCCAGCGACGAAGAGGAGGAAGACGAGGAAGAGAGCATGTTTGAGGAAGACGGGGCGGAGTCCGAGGGGAAGGTGGCGCTGGGGCCCTTGAGTTCCCGCAGCAGCCAGTCCAACGGGACCCTGAGGAGCCTCGACGTCTTCACATCCGCAGAGGAGCTGGAGAAGGCCCGGCGCCTGGAGCAGCGGGAGCGCATCGTCCGCGAGATCTGGAGGAACGGGCAGCCGGACGTCATGGTGACCGGGACGGGAACCATCGGGCGGGTCCAGTGCCGCTAACCGGGACGATTGGGCGGGTCCAGTACCACTGTTCTGTTCTGGAGTTGAAGTTCTCCAGAAGCCACAGGGTCCAGAATGATTTTCTGCTGCTGTTGTTGCTGCAGAGACTGAAACTGCTTCCTGGGAATCATTGGGAGTCAACAATGTGACATTCTTGGGTTGGAAGAATCATGCAGAGAACTTGTGGGAACGCAGGGAACATTCAGCCACATCAATACTGATTTTCAGCTAACACATTGCAACAAACTGGCCTACTCAGAACTATACCTGGAACTGGTATGTCGGGATTTCTTACCAGTAGGGGGCAACAAAACACTCTATTACTAACAACTTTCTGACTGCAGTTTGTTTTTCTGTTCCCAGCTTGTTACCGCGTCACTTCCTGTGTTCCAGTTCTGACCGGGGCCCCCCCAGGATTCAGGAAATGGAAGATAGTTTTTTCAGTCATATTTTTACCATTTCTCATTCACTTATTGTTTCAGCTAAATATTTAATTAGCTAAATATTATTTCCATGCTAAATGTCTCACTTTCTACCAAGCTAATTAGTTAGCTTCAGACTATTCAGTTTGTAGTTTAACTTTTAAACTAAATATTAGGCGAGTTAGAATTTAAGCCCCAGGTTTTTCTGACAGGCTGATAATCCAGATTATTTCTGTTCAGTTTTCATAAAGATCTGCCTCAGAACAGCTTTCTGGTTCCTTCGGCTTTTCCAAATTTTAGTTTACTGTAACTTTTGAAACCCAGCGGAGCAGATGATCTGGAACCACAACTTGTTTTCCAGACTGAGAAGGTTCTGAAGTCGCTTCTGTCAGAAACTCATTCCTTGTTCAGACCAACCTGCAGCTTCCTGTCCATCCTGGCAAGCTGTAGGAGCGTGCACGTGAGCGTGCACGTGAGCGTGCACGAGCACAACAGAGATGACAAGAAATAAAACAATTACTGCTCAGGAAACAGAATTTTTCAGGTTTTATTTTGTTTTTCTAAATTTTCTCTAATAAAAAGTTTCCAGAAATCAAACCTCTACGTGAATCATAAACAGGTTTACAGAAATCAAGATTTTTTTATTCCAGGAACATTTTCTGTGATCTGACCCGACGCAGGTTGGCGATCAGGACCTGTTGGGAG